TTTTTATTGAAGTTTAATTTGTTTAGTAGAATCATCTTGTGAAGTATCATTTTCACTGGAAGGATCTAGATTGAAAAGATTGAAAAGATTGAGCCTTACTTGGCTCTGAAATGTTTGATAAGTCATCAGATGAACTCTTGTTTTTGCATCTGCTATTCGACGCTTTTTAACAGAAAAATGTCGACGAGTATCGCATATCTTTGAATCAATTGTTAATAAGCTATTGATAGCTTTAAAAATGTTTAATGCTCGTTCATTTTGAATCTTTGTCAGATTGACTTTTTGGTTTTAAATATTTCCTGCAACACGGACACAATTGTTTCGGCATACTGAATAGTAATTAAACGTAAATTGAAAGAAAAATATGTTACATCAGGAGTTTTTCCTAAGAAAGATAATAAAAATAATTATTGAGAAACAAAAATAGAAAATCAAAAAGCAATTTGATATTAGTAAATAGAACTAGTGAAAATAAGAATAATCAAACAGAAGTGTAGCTTTATGATTAAGAAGTAGCAAATACTAGCAAATAGTAAAATCAGAAGTAACTTAATGAAACAATGTCGAACCGCTCATAAATATCTGAGAAACCGCGAAAATATTTTATTTCAAGAATAAGGAAAGCTTTACACAGCTCGAACTGTGGAACAAGAATAAATAGAATCGCTGAGATCGTCGAGAATAAACACAAAAATAATTGAATGCAGCGCAGGCGCAGTTCACTACAGGTGACAGTCTTTTGTTTTTTATTTTACAAATTTTAATTGACTTTTACCTTTTTTCCTGTTTTTTGAAATAAATTCACTAAAAAACAGGATTATATTCTCTAGGATCACAAGCGTAAAAGAAATTCTAAAAAATGAGCCTCTTTTTGAAGGTCAAGTACCTCACGGAAAATAATGGCTCTAACATATGTTATAGTGCATATATATGTGCAGTTTTTAGGGAAGTTTGATCTTGCGCGAGCAGTATTTAGAATATGAAACGCATCTTGATTTGCTCTAAAGTACAAAAACCCATGTAAAATAGAAATTAAAAAATGGTTATTTTTTCCGGATCAAATCATTTTTGAAAAAAAAACCATTTCAGAGCGTTATGAGCCTTGGACAGAAGAATAAAATGACACACTTTGAGACTAATCGGTGATGGACTCAAAAACCCATCTTATTGACCCTTCTCCTTTAACGAAATCCTTATGGCCAGTCTTTGATTAAAGCAGACCTGTTCAATTTAAATTCCGGAGCCAAAACGTTAAACCATAGATGCAAAAAAATTCAATATGTATGAGATTTCGAGGACTATAAAGTGTTGATACGCATCTGAGTGACGCTTATCATTGTACAGTGCCTAAAAGCTTACTCACATTGAATTTCTTTGCGTCAATGGCTTTTCGTTTTGGCTCAGGAGCTCAAATTGGACAGGCCTGGATTAAAGGGTCTCTAATCTATACGAGTTATAAAACTTTTATATTAAGGAAACATCTACATTAAGTAACAGCTCTACAAGTTGAAAAAATGTAAGTTTTTAATAATATCATTTTTTCAGACCCCGCGTGTATGTGAGAAACACAACCGATAAATAAGAGCCCTATACGGTCGAAGCTAGATCTTAAAATGCTTTTAAATAATTCAATCTTGAATCACTAAATATGATATATATGTACTTGACATATATACCACAATTGTAGTCTAACGAACTGTGCACCGAAATATTTCCGGACTAAACACAATTAAACCACTATAGTAAATTTCGCGAATTAAATTAAATTCTAATTTCGATGCTCAATCAGGCATCATACCATATTTCAAAGATATTAATATGCTGAAAAACTATAATTAAACTTATTGCGAAAAATATTACCTCGGCTGAGAGTCGAACCCGGATCTCTTGTATTCCGTACGATACTAATATTTTTCGCAATAAGTTTAATTATAGTTTTTCAGCATATTAATATCTTTGAAATATGGTATGATGCCTGATTGAGCATCGAAATTAGAATTTAATTTAATTCGCGAAATTTACTATAGTAGGTAACTTTTTTTCGATTTTAGTATAAAATCTATTGCAGCACCACCAAATTTTGCGTCTACTTTAATCCTGTAAAAGGATTTTTAATTCTGTTCAATAAATATCGATCTGCAAAGTCCCGATAATTTGGTCACTCCAGCATCCCCTTAAAACTCAATTTTACATTATGGTTTTTTTAGTTATGAGAAATATATTCCATCATATCTATCTTGTGACAGTGGTGCTATGGGTAAACATGTTCATTTTAAAATATTCTATCCTAGTGGAAAAATTTCGCTAAAGTTTCATTGAAATTTTATTAAAATTTCACTGAAATTGTTCTCCGTTTTGTAACACTTTTCAGTAAAATTTCAGCGAATTTTGCTGAAATTTCAAAAAATAAAGTTAATTAATCCAGTTTGCTAAAATAGGTATTTGTAACGTCCGGTGCACCTACAACATAGCGCCCCGTCCTTCACAAGCGAAGCGCGAGGCACGGAGTATAGCACGAGAACATAATACGCGTTAACTACAATTAGGTAGAACTATAGGCCGCGCCACCAAAACCGTTGCGACCGAACGCAGCGCGCACTACGCCTGCGCCAACTACCAAACAAAAGAACTACTAGAGAAATGCATTTCCTCGCGCAAATAACATCGCCATCAGATAGATAACGGAAAACTTAATAAATAATGCTAAGATTATCGCAAATGCAAAAAACCGCCTCGCGAGCAACAGACAAAATCGCATGTCACACCCAAAACGCATCCAAATGCAATGCGAAACGCATCTAACCATCGTAAAAACATCCTGCAATACGAGGAAGATCACCAAGACAAATGCAAGTTTTACCGCGACAAGCTACGAAAAGCGACGACCAAGCACATCAAAACTAGCACCGCGATTCCTAGAACAGAATATCGCATCCAAATTAAAGAAAATTGGGCGATCGAAAGCGTAATTACAAAATTATCGTTATATAATATTCCCGAACATTCTAGAACATTCTAGAAGGTTTGCGACTAAACAAAGGAAGAAACACCCCCTTTACCGCGAGGGGTCGCAAAACAATAATATATAAGCGAAGCGTTTACAGACTCATCATCCTCATTTTTCCGAATCCTCTTGCTACGGTAAGACTACCAAACGCTTACGTTGAGCGCAAGCAAATCTCCATCTTTCCACCAGTAAGAAATTCCGGCTTTAACGTGCGCCTCCCCAGGCGTCGAGAAGCCACTCCCTTTCTCCAATTTTGACGTACACGCTTTTAATTGAGCGTCGATAGATCTGGAAACTTCCTGTGGAACTCAAACGTGCGCCTTCCACGGCATCGAAGCTTCCACACCCCCTCTTTACTAATACACTCGCGAATTCGTAGATACCTAAAACGAAACCAGAGAAAAAAGAGGAGGATGGCGCGTCCACCTTCGAAACTTAAAGAAGTCACTTCACGTCTCCGGGAGTTCGATCCCGCGGCCTATTGGGGGACCAAAGCCGTCGCCGAAATCCAATGGTCCACGGGGCCGGATACCAGAGATTCCGCTAGACCCGCGTCTCCACCGCGGTCCACTAAGGACGCCCCAACGGCGCAGTCCGTGGGAAAACACCTTCCTAGGGCATCGCCCTCATACGTGGCCCCCGTGAGGAAACCCACCCGACCACAACTCATTTCGAGTAAAAGGACCGAACCTAGAATAATCGCGAACCAATCTTGTAAAGTAAATATAAGCATAGTAAAACCTTATCACATAGTAATTATATCATTACCCCTTCCTGTACCTTCTCATATAAAGGAAAAGGAGAGCGTGGATAGAGCGAATTAAGTGATGATACGCTCATGCGGGAGATCAAGTTATCTCAACATACGCCGAGGACCTAAAAATCTGACGATTCCTCTAAACTCTCCATTTATCTTTTTCTTTCCATATAAGGTACACGAAGGAAGCGAGAACGCGCAATTTAAATCATAAACCTAAGATACTTATAAATTACATCGATTTTGTGCCGATAACGAAGGTACTGGTGACAGCAGCCGAGAGCAAAAACTCGTCAAAATAAAGTCAGCAGAAGCCAAGGCTTCGCCCCGCGCGCCTCGCTCCGCGCTCGCGCTCCGCCAAAACATATCGCGTCTCGTGACCGCGAACAAAACGCGAACCAGGACGTAACAGTATTAATACATGTGTATAAAATATATGATTAGCATAATATTCCTGAGAACATATATATGACAAAATTATGATAAAAAATATTCCCCTTGAATTCTACAATTAATTTCATGGTGCTGCAATCATCCCTCCTGAGCTCTACCCTAACATAACGTGCTTAACCCGAGGTTTAACCTTTACGATCGTACAAGAACTGCTCCTTCGACGATCCACGAACACCTATAATACTAATAAATGTATAGTAACAGATTTGATCAAAGATGTTGTGAAAAAGAAAGAACTAATACGCATAGAAAAAATAATAAGTGTTAAATGAATGTACTAATGAGAGCAAAATATTTAATATTGAGAACATAATATTTAATATACCGTATCGTCTTCTCATGCATATTAAAACCATTTATGTAAAAAATAAACGTAGAAAGACTAATTTTCGAGTAATAATTTTGCAACATTTTTAGCGAAATGTAAAGAAATATTCAATATATTTTTTAAAAAATATAAAATTTTCATACAAAACAGCAATTTCAATTTAATTTCAGCGTTTTTTCAGCATTTTTGCTGAAAAAAATCATTTTCAGCGAAGTTTAATTCAAATTTCAGCGAAATTTCAATAAATTTTCGGCATTTTCGCTAAAATGTCAATTTCAACAAAGTTTCAACAAAATTTTTTCACCAGAGCAGATATGTCAACAAAGTGTACATCCTATGAATATCTTACAAAGTCTGAACGTTCCAACATGAAATGAATATAAAATGGTGTCGATAGAATATCGTTTGCTGTCTTGAAACATACATCATGTTGTAAAGAAGCTTTGATATCTTACCTTGACGAGAAACTGTGACAAATACACTCTTTTCTGAACTACATCGGTATGCATCAAAAGCCATTTCAATATCGGATGAATAATTTCGATTTCACCTCGAACTAAACCTTGTCTAAATTAAGGACAACATTAGGGTAATTATACCGAAAAGAGAACCCCACCCTAATGACTTTGACCTTGACATATATTGTCAAGGTTATGACCCTGAGTGACCTCTAACAGGTTTCAGCCGTTGCTCGTTATTTCTTAAAAAATTATTAACAGTCAAAATCGGTAGTTATTTGAATATAATAGGTGTAAGATAATAAGCCTTATCAATCATAAAAATAATAAAAATAAAAACCAATGTAAGCAATAAGATGATAGTGTGTGATAATTATATATATTAATGATAATAATGAATGTTAAACGTTTCAGAGCCCTAATTTGGGCCCTCTTCGACGTAATGTTAATAGATTTACATATAATAATTAAGCATTGCAATATAAAAAGCACAAATTGAAGCGCTTAAGGAGGTTGTAATTGTACAAATGCAATATGTTAAAAATTACTTGAAAAAATTACAGATTATTCTATTTCTAAATATTTCAGATTAATTTAAATTGCATTTAAAAGTAATAAAAAAAATTAGAGACAGTTGACTATCTGAATCAAAAGTTATTTTAATAAAAAGTAATATTTTTGAAACGACCCCGCACTAATCCTATTTGAAATTGGGTCCCGGTGAAATCAAATTTTCATCGGTTTTCTCATATGTTATAGCTTATGACCTGCTAAACAAAACATAAGTTTTAGAGCAAAAAAATGAACAGTTTTCGTGTTGGATTCGCTTACAGTCGCTGACATATCACCATAAAATGCTCAATAACTTCGAAAGGGCGGACCTAAAATGGATAAAATTATAGTGCTTTGAAAAGGAATAGTGCTCAACAAGGACTATAAAAATGGATCTCACTTAAAAAATCCGAGTTGACTTTGCCCTGCCTTGGCGACGCCACCCAAAGTCAAACTGATGAAGCCAGTGGCTAGGTCTTTTTAAACTCTACAACTTTTATCTAAAACATTTTTTTATAAAACTTACCCGCACAGCACCTTTCATTGTAAATATGTATTAAATACATAGAGGAAAGGTCCCTATTATGAGATATCGAATTCATTTTGGGTAAATGCTAGAAGTCTATAAGCAGAATAAAAAAAAATGATAGATCATTTTGAAAGGAATTTAATAAGCTTTAAGATGACGTTACCTAAAATTTAATTCAAATTCCATTTTTTTTTTAATTAAATTAATGTAAAAAGTGAGCAAAACGCAAAATGAAAAAATTGTGCTCCTAATATGAGATGTCCCGAAAAATCGATAGTAAAACGGAAAGTATAATATATCAATATTGCAATTAAAAAACTTTATTTAATCTCCGTGTTCAGATCCATTCTTGGAATGCCAACGTTTCGTGAACCTTGCAGTTCACTTCATCAGGGCGAGGAGCAGCCTGATACTAAGCTGTTCCCCC